ACACAATGCCATACAATGGCGATAGTAACAACGAGTTTAAGAGTCATGTCTTTCTCTGCAGAATTCTGGGAATTATAGTATGGTGAGGAGGAGGCTGAAAATTTTCCATTAGAGCTCCCTAGCTTCATACACATTTATACTGTGCCTGAAAATCCCCAGAAAACAGGAATGACTCTTAGTCCATTCGAAACCTATAATACAGTTATGCCTTATCCAAACACTTAGACAGAACTGAAAAACTATCATTAGTCCAGACATCTTGGGGGGGACCCAAGGATTTTACGTTGGTGCCTAATCTAAGGTTTCCCCCCATTCTCTATCAAGATCCAAGATGTCAAAAATAGCAGCCATTTGAAATGTTCACGCAATAATTTTGTTCCTTTATGATTTTGAACAGCATATAATTACATTGAACAGTCTTTTGGGGAGGGACAGATGATCAATCTCACCCAACGCTTTTATTACAGGGTCTCATTTGTCATTAGTTTCGTTTCTGCCATTAGCTTTTTTTGGAGGATGTGTCATAATGTTCAAGACATTTCAATGAATGCAGGACATGATTCATGGCACTGTTACTACTCGATTAACAGAACAAGGCACCTGTGCAGATACTTAAGCAATCTAGGAACTGGATTCAGAGTCCAAGGAACACCAGAATTAGCTTCATACTACCAAGAGAATCGGACTCCTCTTTATTGAATGGCAGTTCCTCGTACCACATAGCAAGTTTTAGGGATCTTCCAAAACCAGTTTTGTGATAAGGCACAGGGGCTGCAATTAAAGCCACTGTGCTGGTCTGATACATCCCAGCCAACATGTACTTGCAAAACTTTGTTCCTTGGGCCAACATGTACACCGTCCTGCAGGATCAGAACAAAGGCCACCAAATCCCACAGGGGCCAGCCAGGTGCTCCCAGAAATAGTTTGAAGACAATGGCCATTCCCCACCCATAACCCTCAACAGTTGGTGTCCAGTGGAATACTGATATACCTGACTTAAAAGGACAATAAGCGACGGATAGCTCTATCCTTCATGAATCTGGCCAACTGCATTTTAAAGTGGCCACAAATTAGCGAGCAGTGTGAAATACTATTTTCTTCACCCCGTACGTAACAGTCAATTCCATAGGGTGATCTAAGCATTTTTCAGTTTATCCAATGACCACGAATAGTTCTGAAAGTCTTTATTGTGATGTTAGTTCCCCCCACCCTGTCATGTTTTTTATTAATGAAAAAGTCCTCAGACTTTCACTATTCCTAGACTGGCCCAAGAACATGCAATGGTGTCATATGCTTAAAACTAAGCAGGTCTCAGCTTAGTTAGTGCCTGAATGGGAAACTCTCTGGGAGCCCCATGCAATCTGCTCTGAAAACATAAATGCAAAGGCTAAAGGTAGATCAAGTAAGAAAAAGGCACACATGAACCTGCTTTATCCTGAATCAGATCATTGCTCCATCAAGGTCAGTACTACTGCCCACTCAGACTGACAGCAGCTCTCCAGGATCTCAGGCTGAGGCCTTTCACAGCTCTACCACTGAGCCACTAGACCCTTCTTTTTTGGGGGTATTTTTTTGCATTTTTATATGTAGGTGTGTGTGTGTATGTGTGTGCGCATGTGCATCTGGAATCCATGGCGACCTCTGATGACTGACCCCCTACTGAGGGCCTGGAAGATATTCAGAGAGGTGACTGAATAAAACCTGCCCCCACGTCCTGCCTCTGGTATTTCAAGGAGATCTCCCATTCAAGTACTTGCCAGAGTCGACCCTGCTTAGTTTCTGAGATCCGGCTTCCCTGGGCTATACAGGTCAGGGCTGCCACTGGCCCATCCCTGAAAGGAAACGTGAACCTCCAAGACTGGGCAGGCAGGCTTAGAGCAAACTTTCAAAATAAACAGAGATAGCCAAGTTGTATACCCACTTCCACACTTATTCCTTCACTTATGTTATGGTTAAGACACCACACCTCAATTCTGCTACTCTTTGCTCTACCCTGGATTTGAGAAGGAAGCTATACTATATTTCCCTGAAACAAATACAGGTGTATAGAAGAGGCTACCTTAGGACAGCAGCAGGTAAGAGTTATTCTAGCCTTCAAAACTATTCACAGCACTTACTGCAAGCATCCCTGTAGGAAATGATGAGTTACGGCAGCCAGGAATAAGTTATTTCCATATGAATGCTTGACTAAGGGTCAAATTACATATTTTTTAAAACAAGTGAGTCTGGCTTCCCCAGAGCCAACTCACTTTCCCTGCAGCCACGGCAGCAGCTACATCGGATTGTATTTTAAAGGATCACAGGGGCCCAATTTGGCTCGGAACCATAGGGTAGGGGGAAGAAGGGCTCCTGCCTCCCCCTGCACAATTTTTCCAAGCCAAAAAGTCCACAGGACAATCACAGACTGACATGTGAGCCAAAGAGAGACCAGGAATACAAATAAACCACTGCTTTAAGGTCACCAACGTGTTACCTGCAAGTACGAGAAATTCTTAAGGGGTGGCATTTTTATTCAGCTGAATTTAGTACAATTCCTCCCCTTAGTATCGGAATTGGTGTCACTCTAATTAGTTCTGTTACCTTAGCGAGCACAGTGGTGTAGCTGGAGTCTGTGCAGAATTGAAATTAACCTTTTAAGATTATTAATATAATATACACAGCGTCTGTGAAGACAGTAGTTACATGCCTACATGATCATTGATCAGAGACAGCTTAACCAGATATCTAAGGAACGCATAGTGCAATCCTATGAAGAATTAAACTTTTCTCAGCCCACTGAAGTCAATAGGTTTTGAAGACTATAACTTTGCTAAAGGTCACACTGCTAGGGGGCTTGTCATACATCACTTACTTAGGTGTACACCTAAGGTATTTTAAATATGAGTACAGCAAAGATGTACATCATACATGTCAAGGAGCCAGGATTGGCTGCGGTTTGGTGTAAGAGTGGTGGACTCTAATTTGGAGAACCGGGTTTGATCCCCCACTCCTCCACATGCAGCCAGCTAGATAGACTTGGGTCAGTCATAAATTCTCTCAAGAGCAGTCCTCGAAAGCTCTCTCAGCTCCACCTACCTCACAGGGTGTCTCTTGTGGGGAGGGGGAGGGAAGGAGATTGTAAGCCACTCTGAGACTTCTTCAGGTAGTGAAGGGCAGGGTATAAATCCAACTCTTCTTTGCTGAGCATTCACTTTATAGCAAATGCAGTTTTGTCTTACATAACATATGCAATAGTTTAAGCATTTATTTAACATATGTCTAACAATCAGCTCTAACAGATTCAGCGCAGCCCCATCTTCACTTCTTGTTTTGATAATAAAGCACATTTCCTTGGCAAACTTCTTGAGCTTTTGTTAAGCAGCCAACAAAGACTTCTCCCTCTTTGAGTTATTTATATATTTGCCCTTGATTTTAGAAATATAATCTGGCCAACCCAAATGTGTCTCATTTGCACACTAGAAGTTGTTGGACTTTTAAAGAAAAGGAAACATAGATAATATATTTAGTGTGTGTATATATATATATTAAAAATAATACAAACTCGGTCCTTCGAAGTACTGAGTAACTGTTAAGAATATTTCCTAGTTGCGCTTTGTAATATTTTTCAGTCTCCAAACTATACAATGGTGGTATAGTGAAAGTGAGCTTACACACCCACATGCCTATCATGTTACACAAAACCCAATACCACAACTAGCTTTATTATCCAAGGCTAGTGTCAGATTCTATAAAGTCTACATTGGTAACACAGGTTCCGACATTACTTGGCACCCTACATAGTCCCCCCCCCTTTTCTAAATAGGAAAACTGGGAAAGGGAACCACTCCCCTTTTCATGGCCCTTCTCGCTGGATCCTCAGCTCTCTGAACTGAAATGCATGCACTGTAGCTACTTTTTAAAAAGAAGATACCAACACTGCCTGGAGATTACATTGTCTGATCTGAAGACTTCTAATCCAATACACTCTGCTCACGCTCTTTTTTTACCTCATCTGCACCAAAACTGAATCTTGAAATTCAAAATTAATTTAGAGTACACCTCTCAATCCTCTTCCCAAATAAAAAGCCTGTGTAAATCTAGAGTCTGGAAGAAAAATGTGGGGCAACTGTCAACAATACTATGGCTCACCTGCCCCAAGCTTTACATCAGGTAGGGCAAGGTGTGCACAAAATCCCACTGCACAGAAGATCCCACACCTACACCCTGCATTCATTCACCTGAACTAGCTCCCACCCGCTGGTTCCATCCTTAGGGCAGACTAGACCCACCTCCGCACCCCCATTTTAGTGCGTACTCGGGGAGGGGGAGAACCACTCGAGACAGTGGCTTTAAAAGGGTCGGCTGCAGTCTCTATGAAGTGCTGTCGAGCAGGCGGCACAGAAGTAACTGCAAAAGATGGTAGGTGACCACAAAGGAAACACTGGGGGTGGAAGAACCGGGAGGGGGGGGGGAGAAGAGAAGAGAAGGGGGAGATCCTCCCACAGACACTGAATCACATGCTCGCCAACTACAGCCAGCATCATTCAAAGGACAGGCGAGAGGTGTTGGCTCCGGGGGATGCGCGCCTGAGCGGGTGAAGCAGTCCCCTCCGCACAGACAGGCAGGCAGGCAGACGGGCGTCCAAAGCCAAGGAGCCTCCCGACGGGGACGAGGAAAGAAAACGCCCCGAGTGGCGATGCTGCCACCCGGCTCCTCGGGCTCGCCAGAGCCGCAAAGGGGAGCGGCTCGTCTCCCTTCCCGCCCAGCACAAAAGCCTGCTCGCAACGGGCACGGCCTCTCCGCCCCCACCCGCACTGCCGCCGCCGCCGCCTCCTTCCTCCCCCGTCCGCCTCCCAGGCTCGCACGCCTCCAATGCCGCAGGGACCGGCTCCGGGTGGGAGGAGCGGCTGCCCGCCCAGCTTCCTCCTGCCGCTCCCCCGGCCAGTGGCCAGGCCGACCCCCCCGAGCTCCAGCCGCGCGCCGCGCCCGCCGCCGGGCAAGCTGGCCCGGTCCGGCCCTACCCCTTGGAGTGCTCCGTCTCCTCCTCATTGTCGCCGTCGATGCCGCAGGTGTCCTGGTCGTCCAGCTCGAGGCTCTGCTGGCTGGCTGCAGACTCGCTGTCCTCCGCCATCACGGGGGGAAGGCGGCCGCGGGGGGGGGGAGGGGGGCGGCGGCGAGAGAAGGAGGGACTCCCGGGCAGAAGCCTATGAAAGGCAACCAACCGGGGCACGCGGGCAGATGCAGCCCGGAGGAGCTCCCTCTAGCTGCCGGCCTCCCCTCTTGCGGGAGACCAGGCGCAGCCCCGCTAGACGCCCACCTCGCCGAGGAGGTGCTGGCCCGCCCGGCTCAGGCACGCCTTTTGAGCCTCCTGGGCGGGGGGCGGCGGCGGCGACGGCCTGCTCTGCTGCCTATTAATAGGACTAACACCAATCATGCTTCCTCCCCCCCCCCCTGCCCCCGGCAACCTTGTCTCTCAGTCAAGCGCGGATAATATTCGCCTCGCGGGCTCTGGGTTAATTAGCCCGGAATTACTACCACATGTTTTTATGTGTACGTATGAAGCCGCCTTATATCGAGGTAGGCCATTGGTCCAGTAGCGCAGTATCGGCTACCCTGACTGGCAGCAGGTCTCCAGGGTTTTTAGGGACAGAAAAGCCCCCCCCCCCACCCCCGCCTATTTCTTGACATAGTTTAAGTGGATACGTTAGGCGTCGCGCGTGGGTTTTTAGTCCAAAGAAAGCATGTGCGGTTTCACAGTGCCATCCCGAACAGAGCTGACTTCTGATGGGCTTAGTAGGATGTAACTGACTGCTAAGGATTGTATTGTCACTGACAGCCACGTTCCTTATGGGACTAATTCTTTCAAAATATTGAATTGTGTGCCTCTGAGCATGTGCAGGTGTACACAGCAAATATGGTGTTTTGTAAGGACCCCAAGAAATCATGTTCAGACTCAGAGTACCATTTCTTTATAAGGGACTGTTAACTAATGTTGAGGTGGGCAGTGAAATTTGGTCGCTTACATTTAGCCCTGTGTCATCCTACTGTTCATTGTCTTGTCTGTTGGTTGCTTTTGTATTTTTATGCCACCCTTCCTTCAAGCAGCTGGAAGTGAGGTACCTTGTTCTCAATTTTATCCTCACAACCACCCTTTGAGGAAGATCAGTCTGAGAGAATGGCTGGCCCAAGGTCATTCAGTGATCTTTATAGCCAAGTGAGGATTAGAACCCAGGTCTGCATGGTCTTAATCCAGACAAGCTACTACACCATATTAGCTCTGGTCATATTTGCTGCAACTCTGCCTGTTCCTTTTTCCAGGCTGTCATGGAAGGCTACTGATGGCTGACTAGTTGGAACGGTTGGATGCCTGTTGAACTTTGGGGTTCTGGAACAATAATATTAATGGACAGGAATTGTTATGGTTCCATATGTGTAATTAAGATAATGTGTAGCTACCCTCAGACTTTGGAGGCCCTGCTTTGAATGCCCTGCCATCTGAGGCTAGATGGGTGGCACCCGAGAAACGGTCTTCTCGGGTGTGACATCAAAATGTTGGAATTCCCTCCCCAGAGATTCTCCCGTCGTAGCCTTCTGTTGATGTCTTCCACTAGAATGTGAAGACTTTTCTGTTTGGTCTGGTGTTCTCATGCTGATTCTCATTGACCCTTTTTTTTGTTTTATATGTATTTATATGAGTTTTTAATCTTGCTTCAGTTCTGCACCACCTTGGGTGGAAAGGTGACTTTCGTATGTTTTAAATAAAATTAAAATAAATAATTTCCACGTCACCTTCAAGTAATCTGGAGAGAGAGCACAGAAACAGCGCACTTGGGCTAGGTGTGTATTCAGGCCCTGTCCATTCTATTTTAAAGGCAGATTAAGGGCGAGGGGGTGGGTGGGTAGGAGTTTGCCTCCATCGTCTCTGCGTTGACTTTTTTCATAGCTTCTTGCTTATGGGGAAGGTTCACAAAATGTCTTGTGTCTCTTAAGCATACATGACTGCTCTGTCATGCCTTGTTATGTTTGATCCTGTTTGGTCTCTTTGTCCACCCACTTGCCTCAGAATAAGTTAACATCTACTGTTGCATACATGTACCGCCTGTGGGAGTGGATGCACTAATTTGTATTACTGACTGCCATCTTATGTCTAATGGCCAATTGATGCATATATATTATTTTAGAGATTTTATATTTAGGTTAATTGTTGCTGTTTATATTTTTGTGTCTACATTGTTGTAACCCGCCTTGCTATGGTATGGTAGACTTTTGACTATTATGGTATGAATGCCACATCTAAGTATCTGTCGTTTCCCCAGTACAACTGAAGTTTATACATTTTCTTAAAGAGCATGCTATACAGGTTTCTTTACAGGCCCAGAGGTACCTGAGGTTGTAGGTTGGGTTGCAGTCTCATCCTGAGGACAAGGGTACTTGTAACATTTTAGCTACATACCTTTGCTCACCATCTGGAGTCATCCATAAGTCACTATTTACTTGCATTGTAATGTGATAAAGAAGTCAAGTCTGAAAAGTTAATTAGCATTTCTAAGTAATGGAAATAATTCTGGCAAAGTGGTGTAACCTCATCTATTGGCAGTGTCAGTTCTCAGTGTTTTGCACAGCTGGAATTTGTTCTTACTACATTTCATTCTGTGTCTGCAAGTGGCATAATTTTATTAATCATTATTTTGTGTCTGTTGCTTGAGTTCCTTGTCCTCTAGACTGTGTGGAAGAATTTTATTTTATTCTATTGGGATGATTTTATAATTATTAGTATTCTAACCAAGCAACAAAAAATTATGTTTTGGAATGCTGGATTCTAATTACATTAAGCAAATGAAAACAAGCTATTATTTTTTTCAGTTGTATTCAAGATAATGCTCCGTTTGTGCTTGAAAGTTTTCATTTCTTTGTTTTTTGTTTAGCAGTCCTATAGCAGACGTCAGTTGCTACAAATGTTGAAGTCTCAGTAGCTGTGGAACAAGCTCATGATACTAATTTTTTTTTTTTAAATTTAGTAGGCTGGTCTCTCTGTGTTCCCATGGGGCCAATTTGTTGTGGGGGGTTCTGGTCACATGATGCTAAAAATAACCTGCCTGAATTAAATATTTTTGAAACTCAGGGTTTTAACTGCTGGCCATTTAGCAGTAAAATTATTCTACCTGCTGACATATATTAAAGGGCCCTTACTAAATTTTAAAGCCACACTGGGAGACATTAGTCATCTCTTGGAGAGATGCTTTCGGACGTTAACTGTACCGACAAAAATTGGCATGTTGATTTGAATCCTTAAAGTTTCTGCAGTCCCAAAATTGGTTATTGTGAGTCTTTTATTAGGAATTGGCACACTCGAGGTCTCACAATAAATAATAAATACACACAGGTACACCTCCCTGATTGTTTCCATGCACTGGCATAAATAGGTACGTGGCTTGCACATGGACTACTGGCACTTGTTCACTTCTATCATTTCCCTTTCCATAAAGCATCTCAAAGAAGCCCTTTGGTGGTGGAAAATGCTGTTAAGTCACAGCTGGCTTATAGTAACCTCCATAGGTTTTCATGGGAAGAGATGAACAGAAGTGGTTTGCCATTGCCTGCTTCTGCATAGCAACCCCGGAATTCTTGGTGGCCCCCCATCCCAATACTAACCAGGGCCTACCGTCCATCGTTTCCAAGATTTGATGAGATCAGGCTAGTCTGGGCCCTCCAGGTCAGGGCAAGAAGCCATTTAGTCCCATAAAAACCTTTGCCTACCATTGTCTTCACGCACTTCATTTTCCAATAGTGGATGGTGAGAGAGTTGGAATCCAAGTCTTATGAGGAAAGGCTGAAAGAGTTGGGTATGTTTCGCCTGGGAAAGAGAAGGCTTAGAGGGAACATGATTGCAGTCTTCAAGTATTTGAAGGGCTGTCATGTAGAAGATGGAGCAGATCTATTCTCTCTTGCTCCGAATTGCAAGACTAGATCCAGTGGGTGGAAATTACAAGGGAGTCGATACCGGCTAAATATCAGGAGAAACTACCGAACTGTAAGAGTGGTTGAGCAGTGGAACAGACTGCCTCGGGAGGTGGCAGGCCCGTAGCTCGCGTGAGGCCCGCGGGGCCCGCCCCCCCGTGGGTTTTGTGGGCTCCTCCCCGATCCTCTGCTCCCCCTCCCCTCGGCCCGAAGACGATGAGAGGCTGGCAGCGCTACAGAGGGCTTGAGGGGCGTGGCGGCCTCCCCTCCCTCCTCCTCCTCCTCCCCTTCCTTGCCGTGCCCAGGCGGGTTCGTGGAAGGCCCTGTGGATGTTCCCAGTGGGCTGGGGGGTGGAGGAGAGGAAGTGGGAGCGGCGAGGGCCAAAGGGCGGTAGGCAACTTTCCACGCAGGTGACACAGAGTTCGCCTCTGGCAAGCCGCAGCGCTAGTTGTGTTTGGGCTCCGGCGCTTCCTGCCTCCCCGCCTCCTGCCCCAGCCAGCCAGGCAGGCTGCAGGGGAGACCTAGCGCATCAAAGGAGCCCCTGTTGGCCCGGAGGGTGGTGGTGGTGGCCAGAGCAACGTGGACCATGCACCTGGAGGACAAAGTGGCACTGGTGATGGGGGCAGCCCAGGGTATCGGCAACGCTTGCGCCCAGGGGCTGCTGGAGAAGGGCTACAATGTAAGGATGGGGGGGGGGGGGGGGGTTCCTGCAGCAGCAGCAGCAGCAGCAGCTCTTCCTGTGCCCTGCCGTTCCCCTTCGCTGCGGAAGGCTCTTCGGCTTGGAAACGGATGAGCACCGTGCCCTAGAGTCGGATTCGACTGGCTTTCGAGCAAGGGAAACCTTTACCTTTACTATATTTACAGGGCTTGTTTGCTGAAGTAGGTGTGGGACAGTGCTTTAACAACAGTGGCTCTGTAGATCAAGGTTTCTGAATGGGAAAAGCTGTGACAAAAACACAACTAGTATTAACAAGCATTTATTTGAGGGTCTTTGAGAAGAAGTTGCCCCTCACCCGGGATCCCTTCCTCCTTCTCCCTCCCTATTCTAGGGACTTTGTTTCTTGGTAGGATTTTGATTCCTTCTAGGAAGTACTTGGTACTTGCCAATCTTTGTCCTGTGGGTGCTATAAATTGGGCCCAGGGAAACGCGTGTAACTTTAGGAACTGCCAAAGAAAGAATTCCTGATTTT